ACTGGTTTGGGCTATAGGAGGAAAAACCTCTCTTACCTTTCAGGGTACCTTACTAATCCTGAATCAATGTCTGGAGAAATAACTGACTCAACAGGGGAGCCCCCTCCAGATACAGCTGGCTTAAAAATTACCTTGAGGTCAGAAATTGGAGCAATTGCTACAGCAAATGCAATGTAATACAGAGACTCAAAATGTGTTTTACCACATGATAGGCTGATTCTCATTTGAGATAAGCACCCCTACATTCCTAGACCAAGTGCTCATATAACCAGGGAGCAGACCAAGTGAGGAAGTTCCCAGTGGATACGCTGCCATAGCTGTCAGCCACTCCACACATGAACTCAACTCGCCCTTCAGTGAGCAGCCACTGCCCAAGCCCAGACGAGGTTCGCTCTCATGCACTCACGCAGCTCCTTATTCTTTATGATCGTATGTTGTGGGACCTTTTTTATGAATGTCAAGACCATGCTAGAGTATGGTGCCCATGAGGGCTGGGCCTGTGTCTGCTTTCACAGTGCACAGAGTAGGGGTCTACTGAACAGGCCCGGGTCTAAGTTACAAAATGTAAGGAGGTGCCAAAAAGCTCAGTAATTAAAATAAATATGATTTGGGTGCAATGTTTTAGAAAATAAAGGTCAATGTAAAATGCTTAATGAATAACATATCAACATTTTACATTACAGTAGCATCAGTATTTCTGATTTTTCCTTTTGTTTCAGGCTCCACGGTGGCTCAGTATGGCATTGCCAATAAATATTTGTTAGCATTTTCCCATTTTGGTATGGGAAGTTTCCTTAAAGCCATGTAGTGGCAACACCAAAACAAACACACGAAGCACAAAAGCAGTGCCACTGAGAACAAGGCAGAAAGCTTTCTATTTACACTCAGATACCTCAGGGACACTAGTTGAGATTTTTCCCAGGTGTGCAAGAGAGGCAATGGTGTTTCTGATTCATTAGCAGGTGAGGGGCGAAGGTGTCACCTGAGAAACAACACTCAGGCATTAGTGACAATTTTATTTATACCTATTCTTAGCTCTTATTTCCACTTGCTTTTCAAATGTGAGGACCTAACGGAAGCTCATGATCAAATGTCTTTGCATGCTGAAGATGGCAGGAGAGAGGGGGCCAGCGTTCCTTATCCTAAATAGACATTGTGATTAATTTTCCCAATTCATAAACCATTTCTTGAAAGGAAACTGGGCATCTTTGGGATGTGAATTAATTCCTGTGATGTTGAAGGGGCTCTTTTTAAATGTCAGCGTAAAAGCAGCTTTAAAAAATATCTAGCTCTTGGGGCCGGCCCGGTGGCGCACTGGATAAGTGCGCGGCTTGGGAAGCGTGGCGGCGCTCCCGCCCGAGGGTTCGGATCCCACATGCAGACCGGTTCCTGCTCACTGGCTGAGCGAGGCGCGGGAGCGACACCGAGGGTTGCAATCCCGTTGCCGGTCCCCGGTCCGGTACGGGGGCAACACTGAGGGTTGTGATCCGTTGCCGGACACGGAAAAAGACAAAAAAAAAAAAAAAATCTAGCTCTTGAGACAACTGGTTAGAAGATGCCCCAAGACACACCATGTTTCCCAGAAAACCATCTTGTAATGATGGATTTATGTACCAGTATCACCACCCCCCATGCCCCACCTCCACACCAGCTTCCTACGGTCCATCCTCTGCTCCCCGGAAGCCAGCCAACTCCCTGCTCCTATTCCACGCTGGACCCGCATAGATTCAAGACAAACCTCACGGTCTCCCATAGACTTGCCTGAGACCCAATTACAAATGCAGCTTCATTTCTGTTTAAATAACCCAGTAACTACCTTACCGCTTGCTACTACCACGCACTCTCAAATGCAAGTTAGTGCATGCTGAAGATGACAGGAGAGAGGGGGCCAGTGTTCCTTATCCTAAATAGACATTGTGATTAGTTTTCCCAATTCATAAACCATTTCTCGAAAGGAAACTGGGCATCTTTGGGATGTGAATTAATTCTTGTGATGTTGAAGGGGCTCTTTTTAAATGTCAGAGTAAAAGCAGCTTTAAAAAATATCTAGCAGCCCTTGAGACAACTGGTTAGAAGATGTCCCGAGACACACCATGTTTCCCAGAAAACCATCTTGTAACGATGGATTTATGTACCAGTATCACCACCCCCATGCCCCACCTCCACACCAGCTTCCTACGGTCCATCCTCTGCTCCCCGGAAGCCAGCCAACTCCCTGCTCCTATTCCACACTGGACCCGCATAGATTCAAGACAAACCTCACGATCTCCCATAGACTTGCCTGAGACACAATTACAAACGCAGCTTCATTTCTGTTTAAATAACCAAGTAACTACCTTACCTCTTGCTACTACTACGCACTCTCAAATGCAAGTTAGCATCTCAGAAAACCACCTCATCTCTCACACAAATGAGGAAGAAAAATGACTTATGGGAAGAAACACAATGGTAGAAAGGGCAGAATCAAATGGTAGAGATTTCTAGCCAGAAGGAAAAAGAGACAGCCTCATAAAATATGGCACAATTCTGTAAATTCGCATACACCTGCCTCCCAAAGAAAGGTGTCATATAACAGTAAGGAGACAAGCTTGCTAAACAGTAACTTTCAGAAACTAGGTGAAACGTGTTGAACCTCTGCCAGGCCAGAAAATGCCAGGATTCGAATCATGTTTTTTCGTGATTCCTCCTCTTATTCCTGCCTCTTCACTCCTAGTATTGCCTCTAAAGGGAACAAGAAGAGAGACTGCCCCTTGGAATTCTGGCATAGAAAGTCTAGATCAAAGAGCAGGTGTGACTTACTCATGGGGTCCCGAAAAAGCTGTCGAGCTTAGGATCCCGGTCTCCGCCATCTCAATAGCTTGTTTCATTTCCAGCTTCTTGTACAAAGAAACAATGCTTGATTTGGGCTGGTTTTCTCGAATCAGGATTTTCCGTAAATATCTGTGATCAAATTTCTTAAACCTAAAAATGAAAAC